TCTTAAAAAAAAAGTTTTGAACCAAAGAACAGTTGAATCAGTGTGGTGGCCTGGCAGTGAGCAACGCCACCGGCTAACTTGTGGGTTAATTCCAAACCTTCAGTGAGGGGTTTTGTATGTTCTTCCTGTGCCTACAAGGGTTTTCTCCATGTGCATCGATTTTCAGATGTTCCCCAAAAAAACATTGTATGTTGCCTAAAGTTGACCAGTCTACATCCTGCAATTTGCTGAAATCCTGTCTAGAAGGATGGGTGTAGAAAAGAATGTTAAATTATTTGGACACTATTTGGTTATATTTTTCCTATGCATTTAAAAGTGCATGTAATTTATAAAGTGCAACGCTGAGGTGAGGACTAACTTGCTGTCATATAGAAGAATGGAACCTCATTCATATTACTTATAATACTTCTCCTTCGGCACACCTTTGAGGCTATGCAATTCACACTTGTTAAAGTGCATTAGAGTGATTTAGATGAGACATATTGCACTCTGGAGCTTTCAGAGCAATTACAGCAGGGATCTTTCACTATGGTGTTAGCTCATCTTTCACACATTACCTGGTGAGAGGTGTTGATCTCCATTAAAAAGACAAATGGCTTACTTTTTGGCTGTACACTTCGTAAACACCTCAGCCTGTACCTTTGAGAGAAAGAGAAAAACAACAGCAGCAATATGGGGATAATCTAATTCCCCTGCACATTAGCCAAGCTGGGCCTTCCTCACCAGTCACCATTAAGGTTTTTTGTCCTTTTTATGAAAAAATAAGAAACATTTAACCAAATAAGTAAACAAAAATAGGAGGATTTTTTAAATTAACAAAATAAAATTGACCTTCACTAACTGAATTAAAAAAAAAATCTTCAAGAAGTAAAGTGGCGCAGTGGTTAGCATTGCTGAGGACCTGGGTTCATTTCCAGACCTGAGGTGCTCTTTGTGTGTAGATTTTATTTGTTCTCCCTATGTTCACAAAGGATTCCTCCGGGTGCTCCGGTTTCCTCCCACAGTCCAAAGGCAAACTGGCTTTTGGGAATACTGGCCCTAGGTGTGAGCATGTGTATGTGTCTATGTGTCTGTCCTATTGCTTGCCAGGATGGGCTCCAGCTCCCTTGTGACCCTGAAAGAAGAAATGGTTAGAAAATGGATGAATGTTCAGTTGAAGCTCAAAGTGAAATAACAGCCCATAGAGATACCCCACCCCTCCCTTTCACCCTCAACTCCTACCATACTGGATATTTCTTGCAAAAAACTCTTATACAGTATAATACTTCCATTTCCAGGTGTTTTTAAACAAAATTTCAGGAGAATGTCAAATGTCTGTTCTCGTCTGCATCAAGTTTCCTATGCATACAAATCCTGCACTTCCTTCTCTGTGCTAGCTCTTGCCAGGGAGAGGCCAGACCTTTCATTGTATGCCAGTCTTGTATATCCCCCACACTCCCACCCCATTTTCTCCTCATGCTCATCAGCTTCCAGCAAGACTGGTCTCTGTGCCTCGACCACTGTTCTCCTTCTCCAAGCAGGGTTTGGAGTCACTTTTTTCCAACAACCGGTTCTCCACAGCCTCCATGATGCTAGCTCCAGAAAAACTGTGGGCATTCCCTCCCCTTCCTCCTCTCACCCCCTTTCTGAATTCCCTGTTCTGCACTCTCCTCTTTAAGCTCCATCTCACCATTGGGTGTCCAACCCACAGCACTGTCGGCTCCAGTCTGCCTCTGGTGCTTTGTGGATCTCTCTTCCTCAAAACTTCTTTCCTGTTGTCCCTGAACAAAACAAACCAGCTGCTGAGGTTTACTCTGCCCCTTGACAAGAGCACACAGCATCAATCAGTGTTGCGTTTCGACTTGTGGACCCGTTTGCAGGCTGCACCACTCCAGGTGGTCACTCCCAACTTACAGAGTGGATTGGTCACAATGAGTCTCACCTCCCATCCAATAACATTCCAACCAGTCATCATACCCAACTTTCACCCCCACCTGGAATCATTCCTCATTCATTCAGTCTCAGCAAATACCGGATGTCAGGGATCTTTGCTTTAGTTTCTGCTTTTTCAGCAGTTCTGCCTGTGCCCCATACCCGTTCATTCAGTCATAGCACATAGACCAGACAGGCCCAGGTCCTTATATTTAGGATTTAAAACCGGATTTCTCTATTACTCCTACTGTACGAGGAATTTACTCTTATAACTCTCTTTGCACTTCTCAGCCAGTTATTTCATATTTAAATATGCTGGCTTTGCTGTGCTATTTCCAAATAATCCCAGTTTTAGAGAGCCTTATCAGAATACATAGCAAAGAGTCTGCTTAAAGACTGTCTGGTAAAAACTGGGTTATAGGTTATACAGAAAAAAGACAAGTCCGCAACCAACTTTTGTCAGAAAAAAGTGCTATGAAGCTCACAATCCGCAGATAAAGAGCTTTAAATTTCAATCAGAGTATGCAGTTCTTTTAAATTAACATTTTATTCAGTGCTGAAGAGTACTGTATGTAGGTATTAATTTTCTAAAAAAAATTGAACTAAAATCTGGTCTTGGAGGAAAGATTAGTAATCTGTCCTTTGATCTTTGAAATTATTCTGAAGAAAGCTCTGTGCAATCCTCTGGGGAAGATTGTTACTAATCTGGCAGTTCATATCTTCAAGCTCTAAATTAATATTAAGAGTTTTACTTAATGTAAAAAGAGGGGATTTCTATTCTTCTTTTTATTTTTTATGCTTCAGTTTTGGATTAGCAGAATGTCTTGTTGCAGTTGAAACTGCTATATTTCCTAAAGGGGGTCAGGTAGGTCTTTCAAATTTGAATACGTTAGTATCATTAAAGATGATTTTTTAAAAAACTTATTCTTCTGAACTTGTTGTCTTAGGCCACTGTTAATAAAATAAGTACTTCATATGCTGTTGTATTTGTGGTTCCAGAAAATATGTAGATCTTTGAGTTCCTGTTCAAAAACTGCACTTTTGTGTCCTAAAATGCAGTGGCAGCCAAAAACTGAAACATGTTCTCGGAGATAAACGCAAAACATAATTTCTAAAGCTTTTAAAATGCTCTTGTGCTTTAGACATCATGAAAGACCATCTGTACCTCCAGAAGATTTTGTTTTATTCGCACACAAAGAAATGCAAGCTAAGAGGTTTTTTTTGTTATAATCAAAAAGATGAGAGAAAAAAAAACACTTCTGAGCCTTGGTCCTCATATGTTAAATCTTCAGTCATTTTAAAAAGAAGAAGCAGCAGCTACTGCCTGATTTTACAACAGGAAAAGAAAAAGAAAACAACAAGAAGAAGCTGTATTATCCTCTCAAGGTCACCGGGACCTGTTCCCAGATAATTTCTTCTGTGGCCGTAACAGAAAAAAAAACACATTAATGACGTAAAAAAAATGTTGCAAGAGACTGGAGTTAGATTTCTAATGGTGTTAAAATAATATGTATTTGCTTTTGAGAAGCTTCTCTATAGGCTTTTAAAGCAATTACTAGCCTATGTCTTGCCCTCAGAGGTCTTGGCAATGAAAGAGCTTTATCGATTGATAGAGAGTAAAAATAGGGCGAAGTATTCATTTTATCCTGAAAAACATTTAACTGTTTGGTTTTTGTGTGATGCAACAACTATTCTTTTTCTTTGTTCTCTTTTTTATTTTATTTTAATTCTAAAAATCTCAAAGCAGAAATAATGTTTCTCAGAAAATCGTCCCTCTGTGAGAAGAGTATAATCTGGGTGTGGTGTGGCACTGTGCCTCGAATTTAGATTTACATTTTAGCTAAAGATCATGCACGAGGAACAGTGGGAATAAGAACAATGAGAAATGAAAGGGCTTCACCTGAAATCCCATTTATACAGCCTGTGTCAAGGTCAGCTTTGCACTGAGCTGTCCGAAATCAACCCACGCTCAGCTCACACAAGATAGGAAAGCTAAAAAGCAACACCCCAGCGGCCGTGTCATGCCAGCTGCTGTGAAACAGGATAAGACAGCAAACGAGTCTGGCTCTGCCAGTTAATACCTAAAAATGCTGACATGTTCACTTACTTTAAGTACAACATTCAAACAAGAGTTTTGTATTGGATTATATTCACTTCTGACATTGTGAATAGAAAGGGCATAGTTCTTGCATTCTTATTCTTATAGTAATTGCATGCAGCTCGTTCCAAGCTCGTTACAAAAGGCGAAACACAAAAATGACGACTTTCTGGTCTTCAAGAAATAGATTTGGCTCCCCTGGCTTATATAGATTAAACACTTTAGAGCGATCACCAAATAAATGATTGCTTGTATTGCAATTGCCTTTCTTGTCTCAACACATTAGGAAAGAGGCCACAGTGGTGTTGCCATGCTTACAGTAACTCTCTAGTGCAATTTAAAAATCTTTCAGCTCTGTTCCCCAGGGAGGCACTTTACCAAGGAGCAGCTGGAAGGAATCGTTTCCACCTGTAATGCTTAGTCACTAGGTAGCCCAAAACACAATGAGAGAAATGGATATTAATCCTGTTCAAAATATTAAACCCAGTGCCCTTCTGGAGAAAATACCTAGAAAATTGTAATTAGTACAGTGAAATCCAAATAAAGAAAGCCTTTGAAAGTCAAAGCATTTCATATTTAAACAAGGGCTGGAACACTGAAATGGTATGCAGTATAATTGTTTGTTTTAATAGACTGTACTAGAAAAATTACTGTTTGCATCCTGCTCTGCATTTTAAAATTATTTATATAGAATTATTTATAAATATGTTTGTCAAATCCAGTGTTTTTCTCTGTGTGAAAGAACTGAGCTCAAATGGAGAGAGCAGAGAAGGCAGCTTTGCTATCGTGTACTTGCTTGTTAAAATAAAAAGAGAACCTGGTATAGGAGCTGCTCTGCAAGAACAAGGTAACTGTAAAAGGACAAATAAAAAAAAGGAGCAGTTAAGATATTAGTAGAAAATACAAGTTCTAAACCTTGGAACTCCTTGGAGCCTTGGTTTCCCCTCGGGCTTATCATTGCTGAATTACTGTTTCTCTCTTTCATTCACAGGTCACTATTCTTATTTTCTTGGCCCTTGCATTCCTTGCCTGTATAGTGTTCTTGGTGGTATACAAGGCCTTCACCTATGACCACAGCTGCCCAGATGGATTTGTGTACAAGGTAGGTGAGCAGCCATGCTTTCCAAAGCTGGGCCGCAGAAGGGTACCAACACAGCTCAAGTTAAACACTATTATTGGAAGAAAACCTAAAATCTTGGTTGAGCATACCAATGTCAAAATGGATAGTTAGAAACATTTAGATCGTTAAATGGTGGCAACAAATCACAAAATGAGGTGTCATCAAAGGAAAGCCTTGTAGGAAACAAGGTTTTACTTTGAATGATACCCCCCGTACTTCTGTTTCTGTATAAAAATCATACTAATTGTAGTATGCTGGTTACACAAACAATGAATTGGTTAGATCCAAACAAATTCATTATTACCATCAAAATGGTGGTAATTTGGTACCACCAAAATTACTACCACCAGGGGGATTATGACTGAACTCCTGTAAGCCAAAATCCCCCTAAAACAGTAATGAATGTGATAGAGAGATGAAATATGTATAGAGACTCCCCTAGCTGAGTGGTTGGCAGCCGGGCTTTGAGGACATGTTGTCCCAAACTCCCATCACTATTGTGAGGATTGAGCCAGGGAGTTTCTGCAAGAGTGTAGATGGGGAGAAGGCAGGATGCAAGAAAGATATGTGAAGAGAAGACCCGGGTGTGAGACTTATAGACCTAGTTGATATGTGTAAGATTAGGATCTAACTTTCCTTCCAAACTTCTGTTAGAAACTCTTGCACCACAGTATTATTTTTCTTAATTTTTGCCTCTCAGCACAAGCGCTGCATGCCTGCCTCCTTCGAAGCGTATTACTCAGCCCAGGACTCCAGCTCACGGGGGCGTTTCTACACTGTCATCAGCCACTACAGCATGGCCAAGCAGACCACCTCTCGCTCCGTCTCGCCTTGGCTCCCCGCAGGAACTGTGGACCATGATGCCAAGCCTCCCAACACCGAGGGCCACTGAGTCAACCTGAAAGATACTCTTTTTAAAAAAATCCCGCTTCTTATTTCATATCCACATAACTCTAGCGGCAAAAAGAGGTGAGATGATCTTGTAGATCGTCTGACACATGTTTTCAGTTTCCTTGTTATTGCTGTTTTGTATTTGAGATGAACAAAAGCATTTGTACAAAGGCATGATCAATGTGGGTGAAATTCATGTTCTAAAACCATTTTTTGGATACAATTTAGACTGAGTCTGCAAGTGCTGACTTACTCATGGTTTGATGGTTTTACTGTACATGCTTTAAAGGAATGCACTAATGATAAAAAAAAGATATTTGGATTCAGGAAAAAAATTATCATTATATTGGTGCAGTTTGTGTCAATTTGCTGTGCATAAATGTCCTGCTGAAAAGCTGTCTGTAATTTAAAAGCAAGACTGGTTCAGAATCATTTACTATAATTTTTTACAGATATGCAAGAAGATTAAGATGTTATACACTACATAAAATTACTACACTCTGAAATATACCTTGGTATAGTAAGTCAGGTAATGATCAGTTGAAAAAAGAAGCACTTGATTTCATGTACTTTATACAATAATGAAAGAATGAAATTCTCATTTTCAACTGATTTAAAGCCAACTTGTATACATTCCATAAAGCTACTGTTGAAGTTTATCTTAAAATATTATCTATTTCTGGAGGAATTTGTGTGACTAGAGTTGCCAGATCCGTTCACAAAATAAGTAATTTTTTATGTTGCCGTTTTGAGACCTGCTGAAGTTCATATGGATACTTGAAAAATCTAAAAAAATAAGATTGCAATATGGACATCAGTGGACATCTTGTTCCCCAGGCTTTGCCAAAGCACTGTATATGTGATGTTTAGATACACTTTTTCGTTAGTCTCCATTGCAGCCAAACTCTTTGTTGTTTTTTTTCCAAAAAAAAGAAATATAATGAAAAGCCTTCAGAATGTCTTTTTTTCATCAGTTGTAAAAACAACGTACTTTTTACATCTTTGTGGTGTATTTTGTCAATAGTTAGCAAAACCTAGAGTATTTTTGAGTGTGCTTCGTTTAGTTTTTGGACAAAACTAAAATAAAGCAAGTTGTGTCTGACTTTTGTTTCCTAAGCTTGTTTTAATATGGGTTTAAAAGGTTTAATGACATTTGCAGACAAAGAAAGGCAAAAAAAAATGTGATTCTATTCACTGCAAAAGCATCATAATTTCCTGTTTTTATGGAATAATATGGTTCCTGTTTTTATAGACGAAACACTATCCAGAATTCAAATGTTTTTTACACAAACATGAACAAATCAGTTTGAAGCATGCTGACATTGCCCTTTTCACAGAATGAACAATGTATGTTTCTTAATTAAAACTCTGCTGATCTGTCTTGCATTATATTTTTTTCCCTAGTTTGATTGTATCTATTTCATGTGATTAATCATGCTAAAAAAAAAGCTCATATATTATTATGCTTTAGTCTAATCAGAGGCAGCAACATTATGTCAGTGAAGGCACGACTCAACAAATTTGACATGCTGTATCAGGCAGTGTGCATGTGGGTTTGCAAATTGAAAATGAGAAAATATGACAAAAGCCCTTAGGTGAAGGAGAATTATATCTCTATAATGTGTCAGGTTTCCTTCATAGTGGAGATGCTCTTAAATTAATTATCAGAAGAAAACATGCAAAAATGATTATTTTTAGTAGGAAAACGATTGCCTTCTCCAGACAGCTGAGAGGTAATGAGAATGTATGGGCTTTTGTCTCTGTCATTGTTAGTTATTCCATTATTTTCCTAGTTATAAGAAAAAAACAACATTTTTTTTCCCTCCAAGTTCAGTATCTTTTCAGGAACCTGACATTTTAATTCAAAATAAGCAAGGCATGGTCCTATAGGCACTGTTAATTGACTCAATTGCTTTTTTGCCAGGGCAAGTTATTCTCGAACCTGGTGAGCATGAGAGTTTATTAAGACTAAAAATAAAAAGTAATCATCACATCAGCTTGCACTGTGCATTACAGGTGTACAGACAGTACAGTAAAACAAACACAAGTACAGTGAAAGTAAGTACATGGCTAATACCTTTAAACCTTCTATGAAAAAAGGAAAATCTTTGTCTCCTGCATTTTAAATAAGAATGAATTGTTTAATGTGGTTATTTCGGTCCAAGAATCTTCCCTTTTGTCATGAGAATTATTTTATGAGTTTCTTCAGTGATATGTGGTGACACCCTTACTGCAGTGAGCACTGCTCACACTGATGCATGTCTGCAAATGGCTAGTGCAATAATTCTGCTGCTGCCCTTTCTCTTCCTTATGACACTGTCTTTTCTGTATGTCAGCTTACATAATGCATTGCAAGATCTGAGAGTCCAGTACCGATATTTCAGCTTCAGAGAATCTCTTCTCCAGGGCTGATTTTGTTCTAGTGCAGTGTAGCACGTGTCTGGAATAAAACAATTAGTCTGCAGTATTATATGCACCCATCTTGAGAGGGCAGGCCTCAGTCATTCTCCCAGGGTGCTATGGTGATGCTCTGACACTGTGCTGCACTTGGTTTGCTCCATATCTCAAATCCTTCAGTTCTTCAGTTTGCTCTACATCCCAAATCCTTCAGATACTTGGCCTTCCATGTCTGGTAAATACATCTGCTCATAATCATCACTTGAGAATCAAAATCCACTTCCAGGTTCATATGTTTCACTTTCTATGCATTTTAAGCATCTGAATGGTGAGATGGAGTCAGACACGTATGCGAATTCCTGTTTCTCCCCTATGAAGGTCAGGCCAAGTGATTAAAATGGAGAATACTGAATGACCGTTTTAGGAAGGGGATGAGGTCTTAGGGTGACCAAACTCATACCATTGCTTTTGTCAGATCACATAGTCCAAGCGGCATAACCACATGCAATCAGAAAAATGTGTTACAAATGTTTATTGAAAAAGCTAGGCTTTTCAATAAACAGCTAGGCTAGGCAAGAATTCTGGCCAACGGGCTTGGCTGAGTGCCCATCACCTGACCATAGGACAATGAAATCGTACCCCCCAGAGGTGGAAATTAGCCAGGGGCAGCTGCTTAAGTGGAGATGAGCAGTGGAGGAGGTAATCAAACAAAATTAATGTGAGGAAGAGAGGGGCTTACTGTGACTTTTTGTATAGCATTTAGGGAATCAGTGCTATGAATGATTACAAATAAGAGCAGCAAAGATATTTGCTACAAACTCCGTTTAATGTGGATCATGGGAGTTAAGACTACACCCGCAGATGCACAATGTGCAGTATGTACTGTACTTTGGATTTGTTTTGTTCTGGAAGAGATATGCATTCTCCCTTTCCCCCCATCCTAAGAGAGCTCTAGCGTTAGCACAGTCGAGTAAGCAAATCCCCAAATGTATTTCTTTGCAAATATAACTTGCCATCGAATGTGCTGCTGAATAAATTGACTAAATATCATTCTGATATGAAAACTGGGCACAGAAGCAGACAACAGCAAGTGAATTTTAATTGGCTTGAAACACAATCTACTGACTTCACCTTTTTTAGCTGACACTTACTGTAACTTACACAGATTTGAGAGTGATGTGTAAGAATTAGCTAGACAATACCTTTTCTGTATATTATGAAGTCTTTTAAGTGGGGTGTCTCTTTTTTGGTATCCAAGTGTTACAAACCAAACAATTTAATGCAATTAAGCAACTCCAGGATGATTTTTCTTTTGTTGTTTACAGTAAGTGTTGTTTGTCGTGTAATTCACATTTGCACACCGGGTGCACAGACACTTGTCTGAATTACAGTTCATACCTTTAAGTATTTCCTCGCAACTGGGCCATCCGCTGCTCCTTTGCCTTTTCTTTGGCACAAGAGTAGTGCTCCACTTCCTAAGCAAATGGCATATGTAGCAGTCGGAGCAAAAGACTTTTGGCTATTACCAACTGGGGATTGAAAGGCTACAGGTTTATCAGTTCTACTAAGGAGATCTGTCATTTTTTTAGCACAAAAAGGGGCTTGTTGAATCCCTTCAGGAACATTAGTCAGTTGGAAGTAATTTAAGTATGGCCTACTTTCACAAGACCAGTTATGAGTGTTGCCTTGCTGGACTGGCACTAATCCTTTCTAACGTGCTGAGGAACACATTTTTATTTCAGTGTGTGCAATATTTAAAGAACAAAGAAAGACTGAATTATTTAGGAATATGTCTGGGTTTCATACAGAAGCTTCAGGCTGAGCTGTTAAAATTGATCTAGGCAGACAGTCTAATGAAAGCCCAACAGCATTACTAAAACCATTTTCTATGTTTCTGTGAGACAGCAGAGCCACAGAATACACTTATGTGTCAGTTTTATGATTTTATTTTAAAAACTATCTTTCATGATTTCCAGTTATTTCTAAATTAAATAAAAATAATGCTTTTGCAATAATGCATTTAACAAAAAACACTTTATATATATATATACCACACACAACAGACAACAGAACTCAGTATCTTTAAAATATAACACACATAGGAGCATATGACAAACAACATTTTATTCAGTGTTGGTTCCATATGTTTTATTTATTTTATTAATGTCAACCAAACTGCCATTCAGTTATTGGACGGATTCCATGTGAATAAAACTGGCTAGTCAATTTATGGAAGTTCATCAGTAACATATTTCAGGCGACAAGTATAATCTTGCCTGGGCAAGAGCACGTTCTTGAAGGCCTTTATTGTTACAACAGAAAAAATGGCAATAACCTTTAATTCACACAAGCAGGAGCTAATGCTTATCTGCTACATTGCAACTGGTAGAGATCTCTACTTTTCACTAGCTTTCTACTGCCGAAAAACTTAATTGAACAAATTGTTCACTCTTTTCATTGTAGAGCAACTGCAACATATTAAAAAGAAAGCTAAGCACAATAAATTTCACAGTTAATGTTAAATGTAACCCACTCCTCATCCACAATAAATAAAAACAACACACTAGTAAGCATGACTTATTATAATTTGCCTTCTGGATCTTTTTCTGCATTTCCATGGAAGTTATACGAGGAAAATCAGCCAGGAGGAAAAACTATAAAACACCTTCCAATGAGAGGATTTAACAAGATGCATCAATAATTCAGCCAGTCCCATAATAATGACTTATAGTTAAAGGGACAATAAAAGCTTCCAATATAACAAAATCTCACGGCTTCACATAAAGACTGCTTAACTCGGAACAGAAGGATTTGCAATGAGGACTGTTGTAGTGCACGGATCTCACCTAGTTACCAGACCAGTTTGAGTGGAAAAGACTCCAGCAATTATAATGCTTAACCAAGGATAAGTCAACAAAATAGGCCCAGATCCTTGGTCAGGGGAGTGGGGACTGGGTTCGGGAGGTTAAATTGTAATCTTGTTCTCCTATTATATGTATAAATGTTTGTTGCCTGTCCACAACGCTGCATGAATCTTTCCAGCTCTCCTCCCTTAACCTTTGCAGCTGCCTCCCTGGTTCATTCTTTGTGAGGTAGGTTATTTTCCTTAGCTTGGTTAATATTAATGCCAGTTAATGCCAAATAATTAGGTATGTTGTCCTATTATATTAATCAGCTTGTTGTAACTTTATTAGAATTTAACCAAACTACTGAAGTTTGAATTTAATGAGTCTTGAGAGTTCACACTATAAAATAAAGATGAAAAGTGCTGCTTTTCTCAGTACTTAGCATGAAGAACCGTGTTATTCTTTTCTTTGTATCCTTAAATCAACCTTTTTCTAACAGTTACAGTAAATTGCAAGATAACACCTAGAACTTTAGTATCTTTAATGATTTAAGGACATTCAGTACATGGGAAATGGATTAATTCAATTATTACTGCACAACAACAATATTTCTGCTATACCATTCTGCCACACAAAACTAGAGGACATAACAGTACTCCTTTAAAAGGACAAGCAAATTAGTAATCTGAAGTCCTTTTTCTTAAGGTTTCTTAAATGCCAGCACAACCCAATACAGTTGTCCATAAAGTGGAACTGATTTTCCAGAACTGCTGAAATAGGATGCTACAAAAACTGATTGATTTTACAGTCAAGATACTGAAATAAATGGTCATTGTGCTGAGGACTTCTCTCATAGACA